GCAGAGGCAGTGGCAGAGGCAGTGGCAGTGGCAGTGGCAGTGGCAGTGGCAGTGGCAGTGGCAGTGGCAGTGGCAGTGGCAGTGGCAGTGGCAGTGGCAGTGGCAGTGGCGGTGGTAGTAGTGGTAGCAGTGGCAGTATAGTCGCAGCAGCAGCAGCGGCAGCAGCCGTCGCCGAAGCCGTAGCCGTCGCCGTAGTCGTAGTCGTCGGGGTGGTGGAGTGGTAGTGGCAGTGGTAGTGGTAAGCCATGACTGCTACATGAACGCTACTCGAACCCTTTGGAGCCAAGTGTCGGAAGGCCCAGCCTCTCCTTCGCCGGCGCTGGCATCGCTCGGGCACCTTGGGCTTCAGATTCATGGGGCGTCGCTGTCTTCGCATTGAGGCTCTGGCAAGATATCTATCTGAGTGTTCGCTGCTGTCACAGGAGTAGAACACACGCGAGTTATGTTTCAGTGAGTTTTCAGTGTACATCACAGTCAGGTACGCGTATGATGAATCGTGTGGCTCATGATATGAATCTGTTCCGTGATGCTAACAAACCAATCATTTTGATTCCTGTCAGCTCAGGGTGCAAGCGGAGGGTCTTCCCGTCCTGAGTCCCCAGCCCTCCACGCAGATGGAAGCGACTCAATGAACGAACGATTGAAAGCTTCCTTGTCTGGGTCGAGATGGATTGTCCGACCGCCAAGCACAATGCGCTAAGAGCCTGAGTCCCACAGCTTCAGCGCTTCGTTTGCGCGGAAAAAGCGTTGGGCCAGATAGTAGAGTCAGTAGAGTGGCCCGGTCGCATGCATAGACTCACCAGAGCATCGAACCATTCCAACCAGACGCGACGACGCGACCTTTCGATTGGGTTCCTGTGTTGGAGATGCTTCGTATGACAGCAAAGGCCTCCACCTGCGCGAACCAACATCAGGCCCGGTTCTGTCTACAGATTGGAAGTTCATGGTGTTTGGTTATACAGGAGCCTTATTTCCAATACTTTTCCTCCAACACGACTTTGTACCTGTAATATAGCATGCCTGATGTTCCTGCTCTGAGCATGCGATTCGCAGCTGTTGCTGCAGCTGCCCTGCGGCGAACAGGCCTGACCTTCTCCGGAAGGCCATATACTACCACAACAGGTCCGCTGAGGGCTTGGGGTTCAGGGTTGCCGAAGTCCGTTGAGGGCGTGCAACTGAGAATCTTCCACAACTTCGAGAATGAATCCTTTGACACAGGTCAAGAGAGTGGCTACCTATCTTGAGCTTTCTGAGTTTTGCTTTCAAGTTACCAGCCCAGGGTTCAAGCCCCGTGAAATGGACTGTGTTGGTCCTGAACCTTTTGTGGAAGTGTTACAAGTATCATAGAACCCGCGACTTCAGGTTGTTTAGGTTCCTATAGTAAAACCTCAAAGCCCTGAAACATGCTGGCATCAGCTTCCAGCCCAAGCTGGAGTCTGACACTCTGCTTTCGTAGGAGCAGATGCAGCAGCAGTGCAAAGTACAGCAACAAGAGCAGACCACATCACCACAACATGTTCTGTAGCATATGCCACGTAAACTTAGGCATGATAGAACATGAGATGTGCAACAAGAGCAAACACTGCCAGAAAAGCCGCAGTATTGATGATCGGGTGAGGCTGGTAAGCAATAGTGCTGTTGCGAACGACAACAGCACCAAGAAGAGCACTGCGCTAGTTGGCTGATTTACTAACAGGCCGCCAAGTCAGTCGTCCGCAGCAACACATCATGTCCTGATCCTCCTGGCTAGGCTCTCCTAAGTTGGGGTTGAGGTGCTCGTTTGCAACTTCCAAGTTTAGCGCCTGGAAGCAGAACATGGCCAGGACGATTGAGAGGCCAAAGAGCAGCTTCGCAACCCTACAAAACACACACCGGCCCTGCAGCGTTTCATTATATGCCTTATTCAACCCCTACATGAGAGACACAAGCTCATAAGCTGACAGGCATCGTGAAAACTCGGACAGCATTGGCAAGTTCGTCGCGCACCTGAACATGGGGTCAGTGGCTCGGGGGCTCTATAGGACAATCTCATCACGAGTAGTGACATCATGAAGCAGAACAATAATCGACGGCAAGGGTGGTAATTCTGGAGCGAATCTCGCAGCAATGCAACACTTCAGTGCTGCCCATCGACAAACTGTTTGAGAAGGAATTGCGGCTCTCAGGGTTTCGAACAGCAGCCTCGTCTTGATCCGGGCCTACGGCCAACCCAACATTTTTCTCTGCCTCAATAAACCCGATACCCTATGTGAGGTCAGCACATGCACCTTGCTTGAAAATAAATGCTTGCTTCAACATATACTTATGTATAGATAGATATATGTATATATGTCTGCATACCCATACATATATACATATTCACATATACACAAACATACATGTACTTGTGTGTATGTATATTTTTATATTATACATAGATGTAGATTCCCAAAATCAGTAGTATTGTCTGAATAGGCGTATGTTTCAAACATAGTCTACGGATAAAGCGATAAAGCAAGACTCTAGTGGCATGATGCGGCAACTACATTAGGTTCACCAACACGTATGATGTACTGCAACATCTCCGGATGCTGCGTGAAGTGCTTAGGTCTGCCAGTCGGGTTGGTGCTGTGTAGCGGTAGTCGAATTATAAACCAAGCCCCAAAGTCCAGACTGGACCCTGAACCTGTTTAGGGTTTAGGGTTGACATAGCCCTTAGACGATTGAGCCTCGACTCTAGACCGTCATCCCTTCCTCTGCGCCACACCCCAGCCTTGTGGCCAGGCTCGCCTATGCGCACCTTGGAGAGCCCGAGGCTTCCACGGTGAACCATCAGTGCCGCAGCTTTCGGATTACACCGAAAACACTGGGTAAGTGGCGGAATAGCCTGAAGCGGAAACAACTAGCAAAGGCACTATACAGAAGTGAACACAAGGGCACTGATGGTACTTGATAGCACGATTCTTGCAAGTATTTGGTTGTGCCAGGGAGCGCAAGCCTCGTCATGTTGTTTAATTTTGGAGATACATGTGCGGCTGGCGGTGTGCAGGTTACGAGTTAGAGTAAATTCATAGGGCTTGGGTTACTCACATTGCGAAAGGAAAAGCTCTGCGTGGCAGCTTGGTGTCTAGGTGTCACTTAGGCTTGGTGAGAGTTCGACTCCTCAGCCCGGTGCCGCTCGCCCAAGGTATGCTTTGCGCTATGCCTTGCAGCTGCACAGCCTGGAAGGGCAGAGCTTAGTTTCTTGGCTCAGTTCAGGCTCCTGAAAGAATACTGCCTCAGGCTTCATGCCACAAACTGCTCAAGCACTCTATGGAATCACCTGCTCTTGGTTTCCTATGGTCACTTTGTTGTTACGACGACCACGCCGACGACCCACACCTCTGCCTGCTGCTCCGACGACGTCGGCTTTCTGGTGTTCTTATTCGCATTGCTCTCCGCTTGTTGTTACCAGCAGAGTCGGAGGCAATCGGCAGCCTGAGCTTCAGTGCTGGGATCTACGACTCCGACCCGGAGAAGGCCCGAAGCTGAGCGATAGAGTCTTCTTGAATTTAGTAGAGATGTTCTGCGATTCTTGAAATTCGAGCTTCGCTCACTTCTCAGTGAGGCAGTTTAATGGTAAAACCCTTCCATCGGGAGATCTTCACCTCCAGAGTGCCTGTAGGCTGTCGGCCGTAAGAATCGTAAGTGCCGTGCTAGTAATTATATCCGACGAGAGCTTGTGTGTAGCAGTCTCGCCTGCGGGCTGCACGTCAAGACAAGATGACCGTCCGTCGAAGTCACGTCCCGTCATGACATCGAAAACTCGACCGGGCATCTCAAAGCCGAAGTTTGTCTTTAGTTGTCATGGTAATCTCTTCGATGTCCCGGGCGAACATCAATCACAGCTGGCGTGCAGCTCCGACTAGCCGCTGGCTTTGGCAGTCATCCCGCTTTTTGCCAGCGGGGAAGCTCGAACACCACTCGCTCAGATGAAAGTCCTGGTTGAGCGCTATGTGGATCTCTGCGGCACTCTGAAGCAGACCAAGAACCAGGACCTCCCCCGTTTCAGCTTCTCAGTGATGTCCTTCTGACGACTTGTCCCATGAACATGCGTCAATGATTAGTATGACATTGCATTACGTCCATCTTGTGTCCTGAGAGGTGTGCAAGGATAGTTCACAGCTCCGGTACACGATGTGCGACAACTTCACAAGGCAAGAAGTACAAAGGCGAAGAACCTCAGCCTGCCAGGCCGCCGCGCTGAAGAAGCTCGGCATCCTGGCAAGCCAACAAGGCAGGGATTGGAGCTGGGCCCAAGGGTTTTTTGGCTGCTCCGGGAGACTGTAACAACACAACATTCATGTCTTGTGCATGCGTTTGTCTTATGGCATTCGATCTGGGTGGTGACTTTGGACTTTTGGCATCATGGCCTGCAGAAGATGGAGGTTCGCGCAATGGATGGTTTAGCCAAATAGAGAGACTTGAAGCCGAAGCCTCGGAAAACGGCCTTCTGCGAGAAAGAGTCCGCCTTTGCCAAAGGATGGAAGGAGCCATTAATCCAAGCTCGCTAAAAGATGGTGGCTGGTGGAGCTGATGAGAAGGGCAGAAAGAATCACAGTGACGATGCGATGATATCGCTGGACATGCTTGCAACCGGAACGTCAGCCGCAGCAACAGCACCAAGAACAACAAGAATAGCAGCCACGACGATAGCAACGACAACCACAGCCACGAGTGCTGCTGCACAGATGACTGTCAGATTTCACACTATGTCATATGACTTGATACAGTATGATATGTTTAAAGGGAGGGTGACAAGACACTATACAGCACCTTCAGAGGCAACTCCCAAGACTATTGTACTAGACGAGCAGACGATGAAAATGTGAGCAGAATAGCAGCGAGGCCAAAACGAGCAGAGCATCGACTATTTCACCCAGGCCGGGCCGAAGTGCAGGAAATGTACTTTTTGTTAGGCTCAGGGTTCAATGTTTAGTACGGCTTAGTACGGTTTGTGGTTTGGTGTTCACCGCTTGCCCAAGACCGGCATCTTGTAATTTTGATCCCCGATGCCGACATGTCAAACCTGCTATAGCTATAGGGGGCCCCCTCAAAAAGCCAGCGACTGAAGGGAAACTGAGCTCATTCAGCTCTCTTTCTTTGATAATGCCAGGCCATCGAAGCGGCGCGCGCGGAGGGTGACCAGGAGGAGCCGTGTTCGGTGTTTAGTGCCTTCGGGTTTGGGATTTCAGCGTTAAACGTTTGCCAGACTGTACTGTAGATCTTTGTGGACATAGGACTTATGGGTGAGGATTCAGGGTTGTCGACGATGGCAAGTTTGGCCGCAACTATGTCAAGTGCAAGTTTCTATCCCTGCCATGTCGTGTCCGCAGTGCAACAGATTGGACAGCTAGTCCATGCTAAAGCCCAAACAATAGCAAGCCATCCAAGACATGAAGGAAACATGCCAAAAGCTCGGAAACATCTCAAATCCTTGCCCTACTCTTGATAGCTCCCACATCCCGCAGGCAGAAAAAGATTGCTCGGTCCGTTTGGGCATTGCAGCCGGTCAGGCTCGGGTCACGCATATGAGCATACTCAACTTCCAGCAGAAGGAGAGGCATACTGAGGTCAGTGTGCATAGAGAAACGAGAACATTGCGTACTCGTATTGGTGCAGTGTTCGCGCGAGGGGCGAGGTAGTGATAGAAATAGGGCCTACCTATGAACAACAATTGAAAGCAGTGGTCGCTGTGCTAGCTTTAGGGAACGTACGCTTAAACAACAACTACCTGATAGTGGCAGCAATCATCCTTATCTGTGTCAACATTTTGGTACTTGGATCAAGCCGATCCCAAAATCATATTCACAATAAAATGGTCATGCTCTGACGCAAGCAGTACTCGTGAGAAACCTGGCAAGCAGAGCCGCAAAAATACCGACAATAGGTGCAATCAGTATTGTAGCAGCGCTCAGTGACAGTGGTAGAATCGTACCCACCATGTCATGATAACTCGCGGTAGTGATGCTTGCCTTTGCCCTTGAACACTACGTGAAAAATTCGCACTTGCACGAAAATTCCTATCAGTGGCTGTCAGGTCACGTCTTCAGCTTTTGTTCTTGTGGTAATCGCGAATCCCCACGACAGCATCTAAGAATGAAAAGGTTGCTTGATTGTTTCCCTGCGTGCACCAGGAGCTTTATCCTGGCCCCTAAACAGGACACACATAATCCGCACAGTTCGATATGCCGATGTGCGGTCAGAAAGACCTCGCAGTCTGATATTGTGAATTTCTCGTCACTGCTTTTTTCTCAAAAAGCCGGGGTATGCATGTAGTGGACGAAGACGGGGCCAAAGATGACATTAGGCACTCCAAGCCCGTAGAGCACCGGACAGTGCAAGAGGAAGAGAGGGACATGGACAGCAGACTCCACCACTGCCGAACTCCCCACCGAGAGCCATCAAGCGTGCTGCTTTCCCCGGTCTGCTCAGATGTGATGCAGGCAAAGATGGCTGATCACATCAGCTCTATCTTGCAGACGTCCATGCTCGGGATGGGATGATGCCGGCAGCGGGCTTGTCATTGTGGCTTGGTACTGATTCAGCCAGTTGCTCACACAAACACGTGTCGAAGCGTACAAATTCCGACAGCTGCCTTCGTCTTTGGTTTTTTTGAGTCCACGCCTAGTATAGGTCGGCCTGCTCGAAGCCCTACATGACTTCCCAGCCACCAGTCGCAAGTGCATCGTAGATGAATGTAGGGCACTGTGAAGCGATGCTTGGGCGCCGCGTAACCGAGTGGTTTGTGCCGCAAACACCTCAAGGGATCTCTACTCAACCATGCGGCCTGTTGATGTGTTCCAAGCAAAAGGTACAACAGCCGTGGTGGGTGGAGCCGTCCAGTCTCCCTGTGTTCTTGGCATGTTATGCCTACTGTTCCACCGTGTGTTTTTTCTTGAGTGTAATATAAGGGCCTTAATACTTACAATAGGGTTTCCGGGCCCATCATCCTATAAGTATAATAAGGACCCACCAAAATAATACACGTAACTATTTAGGTCCCTATACAGTCATTTATCAGCTCTTTGAGCCTTTGATTGAGCTGCTGATTCGATGACCACAGGCCGCCTTGCTGCGCATCGCTTGAAGGCTCGCGGCCAAGTCTCCCAAACGGGAGGCGTCGTAGCGACTTCTCGGTGGTTTTCGCTTGCACTACTAGCCCGGGCCCATATCGAAGCTTGAAGTGTTGGAGCTTGCGTTCATGTGCTTCCATGAGTACGAGAGGTTTGGTTTGAGGTTTCTTATTGGACCACGTTTCACCCCCATGCGCGGCAAAGTTTTAGCAGAACGCACCACCTCCGCCCGAAATCTGGGCCCAGAGGGTTGCCGATTGCAGTCACCGCATGGAAGAAAATATCGGGGATCGTTAAAGGTCGAATTGGGTCTAGCCTGCAGGGTTTCGCAATTCTAACTTTCTTGAAGAGTATTTGAAGCTCCACTAGTCTAGTATAGGCTCATCAGCTTCAGCTTGATCCTCCAAAAGGCTTCGTGCTGACGATGCATTGGGAAGACCGCTGCTTGCAGAACCCAACCCTTACTTACATTTAGATGCAATGAGGCGCCCCGGGCACGTAGCGCTCCTAGTAAGCACGTTGAGGTATGTTGAGATTGTCTCCGTGTGTCAGACAGTATGGTGCAACAGGATGTTGGAACATGCGTTACCTTGTGTAGTGTCGCCGATTGTGTCGTGTGCCGACACGTGCTTGTTTGAGCGGGCCCTTTTCCGGATGCAGCTGTAGGCTGAGTGTAACAGTCTAGCGGGGCATTCTGATTGATGAAGGGTTGGTAATGTTCCTCTTCGTCAGCCTGAGCTAGTCTGCGGGGAGTGAGCTGAAGCTGCAGTATACCGTGTTTGTTGTGTATGCGTGTGATATGGTGGATGTAAGTGCTTCACTCCGTCCCACTGCCTCGGCCAACATGCCTTTCAACCTAAGAGACCTTACAGTTACCTGGTGGTGACAACGAACCCTTCAATCAACACTGAAAAAGCATGAGAAGCATGGCACCAAGCGCCTAAACTTCACCTTCCCGTGAAAGCGGCGGAGCTCTTCTGCTGGTAATGTCCATGGAGACTTCACGGTGTGATGGAGAACTTCAGCTCGCCACTGCATGCGCCTTCTGATTTCCGGCTCATTCTGACAAGAACTTCGTGTGCTCTATTGTCTGTCAGTTGTGCATGCGTGTAAGGATCGGGAGTTTCAGTTTGGGTGTTTCGCTGTGATTTCTAATTTCCGGAGCCCGAGCCTTCGTGGACTTGCCACATCCTCGCCAGCAAGCCAGCTGTGAGGTCCGCCAGCTCCTTGGGCTCTGCAAACGTTCGGGCTGTTCTTGGCTGGGCTCTTTGAGAGTCGCGACTGCTAGGTTACGCAGGCTGTACGATCAAGGCCTTCCGCCGACAAGTCACCACAGAGTTGATGTGCCTAGAAGGGGAGTTCGAGCGCTCGGGGGCGGGAATCCTCAGGGGCGTCAGGAGCATGCGCAACCAACCGCGTTGTGCGTCACAGTGTGGAGCCGTTGCTCATCCTTTTCGCAATGCAGCTGCCCGCATGGGAGTGCAAAACCACTCAGCTCTCGTTCAGCTCGGTTGTCTTAGCTACTGCTGTGGAAAGGATGTCAGCACGGGATTTGAAAACACCTCACCTTCAATCCCAAAGCTTAGCCCAGGGCAGCCCTAAACCTTGAGCTGCCAGGTCCGACATGCACGTCATCGGAAGCCTTGCGGGCTTTTGGGTCCGAAGGACACTGAACACGTCGTCGGAAGTACAGGCGGTGCAGGGACTGCGTCCTAGCTACCTCATGCCATAGCTCCTGCACCGACTCGAATCCCCGCTCAAATCCTGATAATTTTGGGGAACAGGAAGAGGATTTCAGGCCGAGAGACCACTCGATGGAATTGCAGACGTGTGGGGCTGAATCAGGTAGCTCCGCATCGGGCCTTTGAATGGGGGTAACTTTTTCCCGACACCCGTCACCCTGTAGAAGAGGCGCAGCTGACAGCCTTTGGAAGCAAGGCTCGAGCCTGGTTGTTGCGAGGGTTCAAAGTCTAGTTTGCACGGGCTAGGGTTTGGTCTTTTGGGGCTTTAAGGTTGAGGTAGGGGTTTCGGACTAATTTGGGCCTGGGGCTTGGGTTGGAGTTGTTTGTTGGGATGGTGGTTTGCACCAATAAGGGATACCTGGGTTGACCAAGCCTTCGAGGACATTGCGGCTGAGGCTTTACAGTGCAGCAAGGTGCATCAGCGTTCTTTCTCGTGCCAAGAACAGAGCAGCACATAGATGCAATGAGGGCCATGTTTCTTCATTTTCATGCCGACCCGAATCTGGGTAAGGCACCGTACCAAACCCCAAACACACGCACGCACACACGCACGCAC